CTTGATCTCAGTCTTACCCTTTATCCCCAAGGTTCTTTGTATAGCCCTCCCTCCACCTTCCCATTCAAATAGTTCCCATTTTTACTTCTTTCTTCTTTAGTAACACCTGTATCCTACTAGAAACTATTGTACTAAGTGGAGTATAATAGACCCCCTAAAATGACATATGTTCTCCCTCATATGTGGATCCTAGCACCAAATTGTTATATGTGAGTATGTACCCAGATGTGACTGCAGAAGGCAGAATAATGAAAAGGAACCAGGGAGGTAAAGGGAAAGAAAGAACCTGAGAGAGAAGAGTGGTAGAAGACAGGTGTTACTAAGGGCTTTGCTTTTTAAAGGTATCTTTCTTCACTGTCAAAACCAAAAGTCAGAGAAAGTAGTTCAATATTCTTTTATTTTATTTCTCAGTGGAGAGAGGAACAGAGGCTCTCCATAATTCGCAACAGAAAATAAGACTTTCCCCAAATACTTTAGCAGCTCTCATCTTAGTCAGAATTGGGTACCTAAACCAGTCCTAAGCCAATCTAACTAGGAGGTTGAGATTATATTATAGGGTTAGAATTAATTAAAGATCTCTTCTATCACTCAGATGAAGTACATTTTCTTGAATTCTAAGTTCTGCGTGAGGGGAAGATAGTTACCTGAATGAAGGCAGGCTTCCACTGGACAGGTTGGGGAGATTATATCACTGGATTAAAGCTAATAATATTCAATAGTATGCACATAATGATACAATCCCAGAATAGCAATTTAATTATAAAGTAATGGATCAATATTAAATAATGCTTTCTGACTAGAACAAGTGAGTAGAGTGATATGTTTATTTTTTTCAAATGTCTTAGTGGTAAAGCAAGAATTTTAAAGCTATAATTATATTCTCAGATAAACTATTCATTAAGATAAGAGCAAAATGAAGTCATTTAACGTGTAGGAAGATGAAATTGTATTTAATATGTATCATTTCTGAGATCAGATGAGGATATACATCAGAAAAAAATGTGAAAAAAAGAAAAAAAATTGCAGGATACAAAATGTAGTGAAAAGTAACCCATGATAACTCATGATAAATCATGATAACACCTGAGCAGCAGGTAAAATGCAGTTAGTCAAACAGGTACATGAGGAACCACAAGAAAAATATCTTCAAGGACAGAAATGGAATGAGCCTCAAACCACAGCCTAAATGAGACAAGAATTTGCTAGTACTAGTGATGTGAGGAAAGGAGTTTATGTTTAACTACAATAAGATAAAAAGAAGGAAAATCAGACAAAATCAAAATTTATTTGATAAGTGTGTAAAGCTATGGAGTATTAATTAAATATGGTAAAATCCATTTATTTAAAAGAAAAAATGCTAAAACTGATAAGATTAGAAAGAAAAATTTTAAAAATTTTAAATCAGGCATTATTTCAATCAGTTGCTAGAATGCAAAGAAAAATCATAGCCTGAACTAGATAGTATCCTGTAGATAAAGCAAGAGTCACACTCTTAGACACATAAAGAAGGACACAGATTCTTAATTACTGAAGATCCATTGCAGCTGGATCTTTGGTGAAGAACATTTTATAGGCATGATAAAATAATTGTAATGTATTCATTTCAACTTGAGTAAGTATAAATGAGAAATTATTGTCAGAGACAGAAGGAAAATTGGAAAGAAATGATTAAGATATAAATGTCTTTATTCTACATAGTAAGCAAGGATTCTTTCTAAATTTGATGCAATAAAATTTCAATCATATTGTATGGCATAGAAATAGTTAAATGAGATTTCTTCATAATGGTGGGCTCTAGGAGGGGAAGGATTTTATTTATGTGTTCCCTAAATCAGTTTATTTTCAGTTGCAATAACAAAATACATAAGGCTTGGTACTTTATAGATGAAAAGAAGTTGGCTCACCATTTTAGAGCTTCAAAATTATGGCATTGGGTTCTGCTTGGTTCTGTTGAGGATCTCATGACAGACAGCATTTCAATCACACAAAGATACGCAAGGAAGAGAGATCACACAATACAGGATGCCAGGGTGATTCAGAGCCCAGGCTTGCTGTTTTTATTCAATGTACTTTTAGAAGAATTAACTCTGGTTTTGCAAGTACTACACTAACCCTTAAAAATGGTACAATCCAGTGACCTTATAACTTCCTGCTAGGCCCCACCTCTTAAAAGTTCTAATACTTGAAATCTATCTGGGAGCCTGAAACATAGGTACACATGAA